GGAGAATGAGGAAAACGAGGAGGAAGAGGAGCAGAAGGAGGAGGAGGAGGAGGAAGAAGAGGAGGAGGAGGAGGAGGAGGGCATCGCGCCCCGCGACGCGCGGCTTCTCTCCACGGCCTCCCGCCCTCGCGCCGCGAGCCCTGGGAGCGAAGGGCAGCACGGCCCCTGGCCCAGGCCGCGACGCGCGAGGCGACGACGACGACGACGGCGACAGCGTAGAACGACGACGACGACGGCGACGACGTAGAACGACGGCGACAACGTCGACGACGAAGGCGACGACGGCGACGACGACGGCGACCACGACGACGATGGTGGTGATGGTGAGGAGGTGGTAATGATGATGCTGATGTGGTGGTGATGGTGTTTATGATGATGATGATGCTGCTGCTGATGATGATGATGCTGATGATGATGAGGATGATGATGATGATGATGATAGTGTTGATGTTGCTGCTGATGATGCTGATGACGTTACTGGTGGCGATGACAATGATGCTGATGATGATGATGCTGATGACGATGAGCATGCTGATGGCATGGTGATGATGATGGTCATATGGACGTTGCTGCTGATGAAGATGCTAAATTGCTGAAGATGACGACGGTGACGATACTGATGATGATTATGATTATGATGGTGATGATGCCGATGATGATGATGATGATGATGATGATGATGATGATGATGATGATGATGATGATGATGATGATGATGATGGTGATGCTGATGATAATGGTGATGCTGATGTTGTTGATGTTGTTGATGACGATGCTGCTGATGATGATCCGCTGCGTCTGAGACGGTCAGGAGCCCAAGCTCGAAAACCGCCCCAGCCCGAACGCTTCTTCCGGCGCCTCGCCTCCGTCGTCGGGCGGTGCCCACTGCCCTTGCGAGAACATTTGAGCAGGGGCCGACCGTCCCGGCAGCCTACCACGACATGTTCTTAGAATGCAAGTAAACTCGCTGAAAAAACAAAGGTCTTAGAACATGCTGCCGATGTATCAACGAAAGGCGGCCTCAGCCAGAACTGCTCTCAGAACATGTCGTGCAAGCAACCAAGGGTTCTGGAGAGAACATTCTCTGGTGGGCCTCTAGGGAAAGCCAGGCCACCTCGCCACTGCCCGAGACATGATGACCTCCTCCTCCTCCTCCTCCTCCTCGATCCTCCTCCTCCTCCTCGATCCTCCTCCTCCTCCTCCTCCTCCTCCTCGATCCTCCTCGATCCTCCTCCTCCTCCTCCTCCTCCTCCTCCTCCTTCTCCTCCTCCTCCTTCCTGGCCCTCCACTGGCCCTCCTCCGAAACCTGCGCCTCCACCCGATCCGACGGCGCGCGGGGCGCCGCCTGCGCTGGCCGGCAGCCTCCAGCTCCCCGCGGCCCGGCCCCCTTCGCGCAAGTCGAAGGCCCGGAGGAGGCCGGCGTCCCGGTCCAGCACCCCCACGTGCCGCCTGCTGCGCTCGTGCGCTGCACAGCTTCGGTGGCTCAAAGACTCATTCTCCTCCTCCTCCTCCTCCTCCTCCTCCTCCTCCTCCTCCTCCTCCTCCGCCTCCTCCTCCTCCTCCTCCTCCTCCCCCTCCCCCTCCTCCTCCTCCTCCTCCTCGCACTCCTCCTCCTCCTTCCTCCTCCTCCTCCTCCTCCCCCCTCCTCCTCCTCCTCGCTCCTCCTCCTCCTCCTCCTCCTCTCCTCCTCCTCCTCCTCCTCCTCCTCTTCCTTCTCCTCCTCCTCCTCCTCCTCCTCCAGCACCCCCACGTGTCGCCTGCTTCGCTCGGGCGCTGCACCGTCTCGGTGGTTCAAAGATCCCAGGCCCCCTCGCGTTGTGAGAAAGTCACGACGGGACGTTTTTCGCTAGTTTAAGCCTTCCGGGGAACAATGTTTGGCAATTTTCTGCCTCGGGGGACCCTTGCAGGGCCTCGGGACTGCCAAAAAACGACTGAGGATGAACAACCAGTCTTGGGGAATGTGTCGAGACCTCTTGGGGTCGACGTTCTGAACAAATCATGAAGTCGGGGGTCTTGGATGGGGCCCCGAGGAATGGGGCTCAGAGGACGACGTGCCTCACACAACGTAGCTGCACCCTTGGATCCCTTCCTATCCTCAGGTCCCAATCCCTCGGGACCCCAACTTCGAACCACTGCTTACTGGGGGCAACAGGTGCCAGCCAGCCCGAGGGGGAAGCAAGGGGAAGGCAGGAGCCCGAGAGGCAAGTGAGGGCGGGCAGGCCTTCCCAGGGGGCGGCGGGGCTTCTCAGACGACCTCTGGCCTTCTGAGGAGCCGTCTCTGTCTTCGGAGAGGGCTCCGAAAACTTCTCCGAAGGCCCGAAGCCTTCCGAGCCTTCCGAGAAGGCCCGCACCCCAAAGTGCCGCATGCTGCGCTCGGACGCTGCATCGTGGAGCCCGCTTCCTAGTGTCATTCGCGATCACGCCCGTGACCGATCCCGCCCCCCTGGTCACGTGACTAGTCGCGCCGGCGCCGTCTGGGCCTACCCTGAGGGGCATGTTCTCCTACAGGCGGGTTTTGGGCGAAACATACAAAACAAACATATGCAAACGTGGTTTTCAAATCATCGCAACATCGTCCTCATACGATGTTTTGACTATCGTTGAAGATTCCCCCTGTAGAGTGACATGCCCGACTTAAGCCCCCCCCTCCTCTCCTCCTGCCTCCTCCTCTCCTCCTCCTCCTCCTCCTCCTCCTCCTCCTCCCTCCTCCTCCTTCCTCCTCCTCCTCTCCTCCTCCCCTCCTCCTGTTTCATCCTCCTCCTCCTCCTATTCCTCCTCCTCCTCCTCCTCCTCCTCCTCCTCCTCCTCCTCCTCCTCGTCTCGTCACGCCCGTCACCGCCAGGGGATCAGAAAGAACACTGTCTCGCGGGGCAGCAAGCGGGGGGGCGGGGAGCGAAGGCGGGCGGACCTTCCTCGTGCTCCTTCGGGGCCCCCAAGGGGGGCCCCTTCTGCACAGTCGGGACTCGCAGCAGGGATGCGCCATCTCGATGCGCAAACCCTTTTTATGGACGCCCGGGCTGCAGCTTTTTGTTTCTCGAGCGCCGCGGGCCATCGAGAGCAGGCGGGGATGGCCAGAGAGGCACGGATGCATGGGCACCCTCGGGAAGGCTGCCCGTCCTTGCTCTCGGTTTCGGCTGCAGGGCCCCCCCCCTCCCTAGGGAGCCCACGAAGAGGCGCACGCGCCCGACCACGCACAGGAGCACGACACCCCCAGACTCGAGCAGGGACCGACTGTCCCGACACTCCTACTAATCAGGCCTACCGCGACACACTCTTGAGGCAGCCAAGAAACATTCGAATCGCAACAAAGAAGGCTCCTGGACAACAAGCCTGAGGCATCGAAACACGTCAGCCTCGGCCAGAAGCGATCTAAGAGCACTTCATGCAGACCGCAAGAGGTCTTCAAAACATTCTTCGGGAGCGGCCAAGAGGGGGGTGTCCAAGAGGGGGGGGTGCAAATCATGACCGGCGGCACGTGCGCGGCCCAGCGGGGGGGCCAGGGACGCAATGAAGTAAGAAGAGGCGCCACGAGATCTGAGGAAAAATCATGGCCCGCGCCATGAAATCCACCCCCCCCTAGTCATCACCCCCCGCTTTTCCGCTCCCGAGCGATCTAAGAACACTTCCTGCAGACCGCAAGAGGTCGTCAAAACATTCTTCGGTGGGCCCGCTCGGCGGGCCGGGAACGCTCGCCGCCACTGCTCGACTGCCCGCGAGAGGCCAGCTTCTCGTGACCCGCACACGCTCGCGCCGTGCGCACGCGCCCGAAGCCGGCATGGATTCGTGCAGTGCGCACGTCCTTCGCCCTTCGATGCACCACGCGTGCGCGGCCACCCTCGCGCCCCGAGCGCCCTCTCCCGGAGGCCTCGGGGGCCTCCTCGTCCTCATGAGGCGCAGCCAGGACGAGGATGGAATCGGGTGAGGATACGTCGCGAGTCTCTGAGATCTGGCGGCCCTGGAGGCTGTCTATCGGGCGCCGCGGCCCTCTCGGAGCCTTCCAGAACGCTCCGAGAGCGTTCTGGGACGCTCTGGAGCGGGTTTCTCCTCGTCCTAACCCCGTCCGATTCTCGTCCCCCTCCTCCCTCTCCCTCCCCTCCTCCTGGGGACCCCTTGGTCCACTACGAAAGCTCTCCTGAACACAAATAGAGACACTTCACAGTTCCCCAGCCTCGAGGGTTCGGGGGCGGCCAAGACGGGACATTGTGCTTTTGGCCATGACTCGGAGGAAACAATGCCATAGCCATAAACTTTTGGCGCTCCGCGCGGACTTCTTGGATCTGCGCTGGACCCCCCTCCCTGGCGCGCGGGGCGCGCCAGGGACGGCGCCGGAGGGGCCGCCAGAGGGTCCCCGCGCAGATCCAAGAAATCCGTGCGGAGCGCCAAAAGTTTATGTTCATGGCGTTTTTTCTTCCTCGAGGTTTGGGCCATGATTCCTCCCTGGATGTCATGGCCCCTGTTTTTGAGCAGGGGCCGACCGTCCCGGCATCCCAAAAGGCCTACCACGACATGTTCTTGGAACCAACAAATGCTCGAATAACACAACCATTGTTCTTAGACCATGGAAGCGATGTGTTAAAGCAAGACAGTCCCTGCCAGAAATAGCCTGAAACCATTGCGTGGGAACCACAAAACCACAAAAAAAAGGCTTAGAACATTGCTTGGTGGGCCTATGGTCGGGCCGGGCGAAAGGGGGGGATAGCAAAGGGGGGGGGAGAATCAACTCGCGTAGCTGATTCTCCGGGCGCCTGCCGGCGCCGGGAGGCGCCCATGCATCGAGGAATGGGCCCGGCGGCGGGGCCGAAACCAGCTGCATGCAGCAGAGCTCGTCACCCCCCCTTTCCCCTATCCCTTTCCGGGCAAAAAGCTCTAATGACGAACAATATTCTTAGAACATAGAACCGATGTGTTACAGCAAGACAATCCCAGTCAGAAATGGTCTGAAAACATTGCGTGGAAATCAAAATAAAAAAGTCTCAGAACATTCCCTGTCCCCCCCCCGTCGTTCGGCCCGATATGGGCACGCCAGGACGCCTCGCCGCTGCTTCGTTCTTACCGTTCCAGTGCGCGTCCCCTGCCCTGGCCCTCTGGGGCCGTGCGCGCGCTTCGGGCCATTCTCTGCGCCCCCCCCGCCCTCTTAGGACGCCTCCTCTGGCCATCGCTCGGACGTCCATTCCCTATGCTTTCTTCGGTTTCGCGCGTGGCTTTATCGCAGGATGATCCAGGATGCTCCCCCTTGAGAATCCCCGCCGAGAAAAAGTGCACACCTCCGAGCGATACCAAGGCTCTCAGGACGCCTCCTGTCTCGTGGACGACCCCCCCTGGCGTCCGCCGCGCACGGGGCTGCAGAGCGTGGCCCAGCGGGGGGGGGGCAGGGAAGGCACGTGCGTACTCTGATGGGCCCATTTTCCACCACCACTACCATAGGTAGAAGAGGGAGGAGGAGGAGGAGGAGGAGGAGGAGGAGGAGGAGGAGGAGGAGGAGGAGGAGGAGGAGGAGAGGAGGAGGAGGAGGAGGAGGAGGAGGAGGAGGAGAAGGAGGAGGAGGAGGAGGACCTCCTCGTCCTCCCTTCTCCCCCGTCCTACATATGGTAGTGGTGGTAGAAAATCTGCTCATCATACTACCCCAGACATGCCCGCGTCGTAAAAAACAGCAATCAGGGCGGGAGAGATCTTTGGCCGATCTCGGCCTCGGGGGGGACCCTCGCCGGCCCCCGGGGGCAGAAAACGACTCGGGATGAAAAACGGGTCCCGGGGAAAGGGTCGGGACTTCCAGGGACGCCGTCCTGAAAACATCGGGGCGTCGCATGTCTGGGTACTGAAATGGGCGATCGCGGAAACCCTGAACCCAAATACGGTTGCACCTCTTTGGGGGCAACTGTTCACGTCCGCCGCCTTCCGCCGAACTTCCGCCGCCCTTTCTGCCGCCTTGCGCCGCGGAAGAGATGACCACTCCTTCTATCCTCGAAGGCAAGGCCCTTTCTGGAACGCCCCAAGTGAGAAGAGGGGGCCATGAAACCCAGGAAGGCATCGTGGCCCGAGCCACAACCTCCCCTCGTTGGCCGCCCCTGAATCCTCCTCCGGGGGGGGGGGTCTCGCCAGGCAACGGACCCGTGGCAAAGAAAAACGGCACAGGAGAAAAGACATGTCCCAGCGAAAGGGTCCATGATCTCTGGGGAGCCACGCTGCGAACAGAAGCACGACGCCGAGTATCTGGGAATGCCGAACTGCCTGCGCGGGTCGGCGGTGCAGAAGGGATGGCTGTCCCGCCGAGACGGTGTCGGCTTGGGCTCCGATTTTGATGCCGATGCGTCCGCCGTGGAGCAGCAATCGCTCAAGGGGCGAGAAGCTCTGAGCAGGCGTCACATAAGCCAAGTTCGATCAGCCTTGCCCTAGGCAGCTGGATGGGCCATCTGCCATGGAGGAGGGATGCGGGAGGCGGAGGAAGACGAGAGAAGAAAGATAAGACAAGACAGCTCAAGGCAAGCACGCAAAGGAAAGGCAAGACCAGACAAGCCAAGACAAGACAAAACAATCTGAATCAAGCCCAACATGTCTTCAACTGTGCCATATCTACTACTAGTTGCACAGTATGCCGGCATCAGTATAGCTCTGGGCAGTCGAAGCCAAAGCCCCCCTTCTCTCGCAGGTGCACGCGCGCCGACAAGAGCTCTCGCACTGCAGGCGCCCAACTCCCGCGCTCGGCAGGCCAGTGACCAACGTGCACTCGGAAACGCATCAGGTCTGCCATCCTGCTGCCCGTCCCACGGCCGCGGGCCTGACAAGGGGGTCAGGCGACAGGAGGAGGAGGAGGAGGAGGAGGAGGAGGAGGAGGAGGAGGAGGAGGAGGAGGAGGAGGCTTACGCTCCAGGCGTGTGCCTCGCAGCTTGCCCAAGGAAAAAAAAGGAGGAGGAGGAGCCCGAAGGGAGAGGGATCAGGGAGACAGGAGGGAGGCGACGCGAGCGAGGAGGGACAGGCCCGGCCGACGAGGCGCCCCCGCCTCCTCTACCGGCGCCCCCCCCTCCCAAAGCACTACGGAGCCCCCGCCTCCTCCTCCTCCTCCTCCTCCTCCTCCGCTTCCCTCCTCCTCCTCTTTCCCCTGCTCTGCTCCTCCTGCTCCTCCTCCTCCTCCTCCTCCTCTCCTTCCTCCTCCTCCTCCTCCTCCTCCTCCTCCCATATTATGCTCCTCCGTTCCCCCTCCCTCCCTCCCCCCCATGTCCCCCTCCCAATCCACCTCCTCCTCTTCTCCTGCTCCTGCTCTGCTCCTGCTCCTGCTCCTGCTCCTGCTCCTGCTCCTGCCCTCCTCCTCATCCTCCTCCTCCTGCTCCTGCTCCTCCTCCGCCTCCTGCTCTCTCCTACTGCTCTCCTGCTCCTGCTCCTGATCCTGCTCCTTCCTCCTTGTCCTCCTCCTCCTCCCCTCCTCCCTCCTCCTCCTCCTTCCTCCTCCTCCTTCTCCTCTCCTCCTCCCTCCATTATCCTCCGCCCCCTCCCTCCCTCCCTCCCTCCCGCCCTCCCTCCTCCTCCCCCTCCCATGCACATCCTCATCCTCCTTCTCCTCCTTCTCCTCCTCCTCATCACATCCTCATCCTCCTTCTCCTCCTTCTCCTCCTCCTCATCCTCCTCCTCATCCTCCTCCAGTTCCCTCCGAGACCGCGCCATATCCATCACCCTCAAATTCTGGGCGCGACAATGGCGCGACAATGACAGCCGGCCCCTGCGGCTTCTGGTGACGGCGGCACTGGTGACAATTCTCCATCTCCCCTCCTCCTCCTCCTCCTCCTCCTCCTCCTCTCTCTTCTTCTTCTTATTCATTTTCTGCTTCTTCTTCTTCGTATTATTATTCTTAGTCTTCTTCTTCGTCTTCCTCTCTCTCTCTCCTCCTCCTTCCTCCTCCTCCTCCTCCTCCTCCTCCTCCTCCTCCTCCTCCTCCTCCTCCTCCTCCTCCTCCTCCTCCTCCCCCTCCCCCTCCTCCTCCCCCTCCCCCTCCCAACTCCTCCTCTCCCCGCCCGACCCCCCTCCGACCCCGGCGATGCCAACCGACCGCCTCGACGACCCTGGGCAGCCCGATCCAGGGCCCGGGATCGATGCATACCTACGCCTCCCTGGCCCTGGCCAAGCCGGGCGGGCGCATGCGCCGATCCTGGGCGCAGAGCGGGAACGGCCACGATCGCCGCGGCGTCGCCCGACTGACCGAGGGCCGCGGCGGCGGCGGCCGAGGCCGCGCCTGCCAACGGCCACCAGCGACCCGGGGCCCGGGACGCCCAGGCCGCCCTGCCACAGCACCCGCTTCGGCGCCCACGCGCCGCCAGGGTCGGTCGCGCTGCGGGGGCGCGGCAGTCTCCGTCGTCGTCGTCGTCGTCGTCGTCGTCGTCGTCGTCGTCGTCGTCGTCGTCGACGACGATTTCGGACGTCCCACAACAGGCTGGAGCGCTTGGGTTAACCTGACGCTGGGGTGACAACCTGACCCCGGCCCCACTGGCACACGCCCCACACGCGCAGAAGGCCGCTGTAGATGCGGAGCATGACACCACTGAACCAGTGAGAGCCGACTACTTGGAGTCCTGTCCGCCGTCTCCTCGTCAGTTTCGACCTCATCGTAATCGGGTGCCCTAACCACTGCCCTGTTGCGACGTAGGTCAAGGCGTAGAATCCCATATGAGATCCCGAACGCCACAAGGAGCATAAGCGCCACAGACCCTGTGCGAACACCACGGGGCTCGCGAGCACCACACGCCGGCGCACCGCGCGCCTTCCGAACACCGCAAGGGTTGTTTTTTTCCACACCTTGTGGCCCTGACCGGCATCGAAAAGAGTCGCGCGCCCGCCCAGGCAGACACCCCTGTTGCACGTCGGTTCCACAACGACCTGACAATCAATCGACACGTCAACCAGTTGAGCCTCGAACCAACCAATCCACGCAACCAACCAAATGTCAGAGTTGGTTGCTTGAGCTGGTTTTGCAGAAGATGTAGAAATGTTGCAGAATATGACTGCTGAGATTTACCACAGATTTGACTCTTGAGCGTGAGGTGTTGGCACGTCCCTTCTAGACTACAAAAAAATATGTAAAGAATCACGTCTTGACTTCCAGCTCTCAGCCCCCAGGGCTCCTCTTCCTGGTTGAGTTTGCTCTGGAGGAGGCAGGGGGGAAAGGGGTTTTCAGTGCACCCCCAAAGGTTCAAGAATTTACGGTCATGGACCTTTGCTTGGCTTCTCGCAGAGGCGGCTCCTCCAACATGCTATGCCTTGCCAGCTGATAGCGCGTCGCTCTGCTCCGTGGAGCGGGCGACTGGAAAGCCCCGAGCATTGATACTGGCGGACTGGGACGTGGTCAGCATTTCGTGCAGAAGCGTGGCGGGCCAGGGCAGGTGGCGCGATGCGTTGAGCAAACGTTCCTGACTGTACAGTGGGGACGCGGCCGCAAGTGGTCCTCGCAAGAAACCCAGCTATGAACATCCACAGTATTTCTCGACCAAGGTCCGGGTTTACTATCCGAGGGCTCCAATCCGAGATACCTAGGGTACCCTTGCCTGGAAAGCTTCTTCCAAGGTCGCGCTGGCACAACTCGCGGGCACCCGTTAGGAAGGAATCAAGAAAACCCTAGATAGCTTCCCTCGTCGCTGCGCCGTTCACGGAACCAAAGGAACCTTAGGGACAACATGATTTCTTCTGTTGCCGCTGAATGTTTCTTCCCCACCAAACAAATTGTGGTCGTCAGATTTTAAGAACAGACCTTCCGACCCGTCCACCCTGCAGACCGCGGCCGCCAGATCCCCAGGTCCCCCGAATGTCCCCGAGAGTCCCGCCTCGCGCCACTCTGCATACTGCGGCGGCCAGATCCCTAGATCTCCCGAATGTCCTTGAGTGTCCCACCTCGCGGCGACAAATCGTAACATGACAGAGCGGTACCATAACATAGCAGGACACAATACAGCACAACACGATACGCCCTGAAATCACATAACATAACACCACACCTCTTAATACAGTATACCCGAACCTATCACACCATATCATGGCATAGCACCGTGTACCTTAACACACCATGCCGACGCACTGCATACCGTGGCACAGTCTACTAGCACTAGCATTCCAGAACATGGCAATTCACGTATATCACAAGAACACATAGCAGGTCTGAATATACCAAGTCATCACATGTCACAGCCTCACATAACACGACACACCACCCCGCACTCTACAGCACATGACAGATCGGAACAGACATACCATAACAGAACAGAGCACAGCACACCATAGTATGGCATTCCAGATCATGGCAGAAACCACCAAACCATAACACCGCAGCACAGCTCTGAACACATGACAGATAATATCTCAACACATCTGGCCAATACTAACATGACAGAGCGCGACGTAATGCGTTACACCGCAGCATCACGCAACACAGCATAACACCATAATATGTGCCAGCATGGATCATACAGAACAGAGCACGACACACATCCTCATAACACAGCATATCAGGGCGTACCATACCATAAGATGCCATACCATATCATAACATAACATACCACGACGCAACACACCATGGCAGAGTGCAGCATAGCACAGTTTACAATAGCATAACAGGACACACCATAACACCACGCCATAGCAACGCAGAACACTTCGTACTACGCCATAACACGACATACCATACCGCATCATAGCAACGCATGCAATGCCACCACTGAGCATGCAGAAGATACGATAACACCACACATCATGGCAACACGACAGGGCACACCAGACCATAGCGTAGCAGAACAGAGCACAACAACTCACACGATGACATAGCAGGTCATGCCAAAGCACTGCATCGCAGCACGTCATAACATGACAAAACAGCCCATCACAACATAATACATCGTAAGACAGTATATTCAAACGCGAAGTGCACGCCGAGGTCAGGCTGGCAAAAGGAGCAAACCAGGCGCAACACCGAACGATCGGACGACGGATCTAACGTGACAAGCGTCACGGCGTCACGCTGGCCCGTCGAGAACAGAACACACATACTAGAACACAACATCCTATACCACTGTCGAACCAACATGATATGCCACATACAGCACACCGTAACCAGCAGACCAGAGCAGCATTGTTGTATTACTGCTACCTCTACGCTGGCGATTTAGATAGAACATGGGTGGCTATAACTTCACGTAATCTACTCTTTCGAACAGGAGCATGCGCTAAACCGCATCACGTCTAATAGCAAAACATGACCTCACCTGGCAGTACATACGTATCATGTCATAACGTGGTGCCACAGAGCAGGGCATATCATAACATAACAGATGACAGAGGTGAACATCAAGTAAACAGAAGCGAAACACAAACTTGCAGAGGATCGTAATCACATAATCTGCCGTACCATAGCATCATCAAACGCGACGTGCGCGCCGAGGTCAGCACGGCCACACGTACAAACGGGCGCAACAACGACCGATCGGACGACGGATCTAACGTGACAAGCGTCACGGCGTCACGCTGGCCCGTCGAGAACAGAACACACATACTAGAACACAACATCCTATAACACTGTCGAACCAACATGCTATGCCACATACAACACGCCGTAACCAGCAGACCAGAGCAGCATTGTTGAATTAATGCTACCTCTACGCCGGCGATTTAGGTAGACCATGGGTGGCTATAGCTTCACGCAATATACTCTTACGAACAGGAGCATGCACTAAACCGCATCAAATATACTAGCAACACGTAACCTCACCTGGCAGTATATACGTATTATGTCCCAACATGGTGCCACAGAGCAGGGCATATCATAACATAACAGATGACAGAGGTGAAACACAAACTTGCAGAGGATCTTAATCACAGAATCTGCCGTACCATAGCATAATCAAACGCGACGTGCGCGCCGAGGTCAGCATGGCCACACGTACAAACGGGCGCAACAACGACCGATCGGACGACGGATCTAACGTGACAGGCGTCACGGCGTCACGCCGTCCGGTCGACAACCTCTCATAGTGTAGCATGGCAAAAAAAAGCCTTTTCGAACATAGCATGCTTGAACACTGCTAGACACGACAACAACATATTAAGGCCGAACTGTCAAACACAGCATCCGCACATGGCCAAAGGAAAAATCAAACGCGGCAAACACCGATTAGACGACATATCAAACGCGACAGGCGTCACAACGTCACGCCACCATGTCGGGAGTTGAACATAAACAAACGCATGTGCATAGAACAGAAGAGAGCCTAACCGAACACAACGTGATAGAGTAGAAGCCAGCAGCGACCACGCACTGGCGGCCTATCAGACGGGACATGCGAGCGCAACAACGACCGATTAGAAGACATACCAAACGTGAAAGGCGTCACGACGTCACACCAGCCCGTCCACAACAGAACATAACATAGCAGTGTCATTTGAACCAGGATCAAACCGAACATGACATGGCAAAAAAAACGCATTCGCGAGCCACCACTTTACGGCGTGTCATCAAACGCGACATACGCCCCGTCGTCAGAGAAAGACGGGGCGACAGGAGCAGGAGGAGGAAGGAGAGGTCCGCCTCACCTCCTCCTCCTTCGTCGTCCGCCTCCTCCTCGTGCTGCTACTGCTTCTCCTCCTGTCACTGTTCCTCTTCCAACAAGCTGCACATTCTCTTCGAACAAACTTTGGGCTCTCGCAAGCCGCGTTTTGGGGGATGGTTAGTCGATCCAGGGACTTGTTTCGGTTTCTTTCGTCAGGGACCCTGGGGCTGGGGCTGTTAGACTTTCGGAGAACAACATCAATTTGCAACTTGACCGGGCCGCCGCTCTGAGAGGCCCAGGGTGATACCGCGCATCGCTTGGAGGGGCTCGAAATATACATCACGTCGTCTGGTCGGCCACGGGACTCGGTGTATAAACGGCCCAGCCGCCCAACCCGTGGGACGCTAAAGCGAGTATACACCGAACTCTTTCGTCGAACTCCTTGGCTCCCTGGCCGACCAAACGACGTGGCGTATACACCGAGTCCCTCCGAATCGGCGACGTCACCGCGCATCGCTGGAAAAAAAAAACAGATGCACCCTGACGAACAGCAATCGTGTCTCTTGGAAGCTGGGGCTGGGGCCGATGCCGGGTCCGGGGCCGAGACCCGCTCTCCGCTCTAGGCGCGCGCCTCCCGACGGTCCCGCGCCGCTCTGAGCTACGCTCGCCAGAGAGGCAAACTTCCGCGGACCATTTGCGAGTTTTCCCCTTCCAGCACGCGTCTCAAGTCTCGTGGATGCCATGACGCTGGAAACTCTAACAGCCCTACCATCGGATTCAAACTGCGCATTCCATGTCTTAA